TTTGGGAGATGGTGAACGCACCACTCCCTCCCCCGGAGGAGGGCCGGGTGGAGAATCTTTTGTTTCTTTTTGCCCCGCCGTCGGCCTCACGGTCGATGGCACCCAAATTCTCGACGAAAGAGCAGTTTTCTCTATCTCTGGCTCCCAGGAGGGCATGGAGAGTCGCGGACGGATCAACACCGGATCACACTCATCCTCCTCTCTCGCCAGCAGGCAACAGCGGGCGGTTAGAGAGCGTCAACAAAGGCCCTACTCCGCCCACAAGCCGCCCAAGTTGGGTCCCTGCATTCCACTTCGCTGCCCCACTGCGGGTACGGCGGTGGTTCCGCTGGTCCTGCTTGCACGCTATCTGGGTGCCTGGCTAGCGCTACCCAGCCCATCTCGCTGGCTTCTGCATGGGGTTTCAGCAACGTTCCTGTTCCAAGTGGAACGGGTACGTTTTCCCAGTGTTATCCAATCTCACTGAGTGGGTAGTGCTACGACAACGGTGACTGGTCTTCTTGTTGCGAGCCCCAGCCTACACCAAAAAGGGGCGCAGGAGGCTCACACAGGACACTGGAAGGGGCAGCATCCATGGCGCTTTGGTAGGGATTCCAATTTGTCAGTCACGACGTGACTTGTAGTCACCGACTGAAAGGGAATGTCTCGGTTACGTATGTAACCCTCGTTCCCTGAAGAAGGAACGGAGACGTCACGTCCCGTTGCCACGGCTGCTGTACCATCGCTGAGTGGCCGGATCACCGGCTCGGCTCCTCAGCGAAAACCTGGTATGCGTTGCACCAGCTGCCTTTTTATGCTCACGCTGTGATCAGCGGCAGCTGGATGCAATCATCGCATGCCGATGTCCATTGGCTCCGTTAGTTTACACTCGAAGGAGATTGGTCTTTCGAAGCGAGATCCCAATTCGTCGGTCACGACGTGACGTCTCCATTCCCTCCTTCAGGGAACGAGGGCTACATATACGTAACCGAGACTGTTCTTTGTACATTAAGTTCAGTTTTAAGCTGCCAGATGAGACCAAACATGACACGATGTGTTTGATCACAATAGTTAATAAATTAGATGTAATGGGGAACACGTGGCTCCTGTGAAGCAAATGTCCTCCTGTAGGTGTTTATTAGAGGTGTAAGTGACTGTTTTTATAGACAGATATGTCCTTATATCACTATGAATTCACATTCAGCTCTGTGTGTCTGTTCAGTCCTGAAGCACACGACAGTTTCAAACAGCACCATTGAGCATCAGCAAGCATAAATCTTATTCTATCAGCAGCAGTTTGTGGCAATGCTTGTCATTATATCTCCTCTCCTGCTCTGAGACCAGAGTCGATAACAAACTACAGACACTTGAACTACAATTCAAACTCTTATTTATTCTCTACAGGTTGTTTGATTGTGGCGTCACAGATGAAGGTTGTGCTGCTCTGGCTTCAGCTCTGAGATCAAACCCCTCACACCTGAGACAACTGGATCTGTCTGGGAATAAACTAGGAAAATCAGGAGTGAAGTTACTCTCTGATCTGAAGGATGATCCACATTCTAAACTACAGACATTATACTATTGTGAGTGTTTGTTTATTTAAAGTTTTTAAAATGACCCAAGTTCAGTAACAGACCTCCTGTGTGTGTGATTGGAGAATATAAGAGAATAATTTAGCTCCACTTTAGTCTCTGTACTTTAAACTGTGTTTAATTCTGTGATGTCACTGATTTATGAATATATGAATATTTTAGTCTCTTACAGTGTCTGTAACTGATAGTAGTTGTTGATAATTTACTGTTATTAATCTATGATCAGTTGTTCATTCATATCTCTGGCTGTAATATGAATATACTAATATCTCTGGCTGTGTTTTTCTGAAATGGATGTGCTGATGTGATGTGACAGCAGTAATATCTCATACTCATATGTGACTGTCTGTGTGTTTTATTGTAGGACTCTCAGTATTCAGACATCAGTCCAGTTTCCTCAGGATCAGCTGATGGTGAATAAGGAGCCACTACAGAGACGTCACA